CCACACAGAGTCCAGTAACCCCTCCTTGAAACAGCAGCAGCACTGGCTTAACAAAGCCTTGAAATCCGAGCCTTGTTAACTGATTCCTCAGGTCCAATATAGAGTTACAGCCACAGACAGACTTGTGTGTGTACATGAGCACTTGTATATCAACATGCAATTTAAAGCCAACTTGTTAAAAGGTTACACATTAACAGAACCTTTAACTGGGCTTCCCATGCACAAAGATCACTGTAAGAGTGCTTTTTCCTTTGTATCAGAAACGGGGCAAATGGAAACACAATAACAGGTTTCTGATGGCTCTAATTACATGTTAGCATCTGGTTCTTTAGTTTATTTTATCAGCACAGAGCGACCCTCTGCTTTTATTGAGCCTTGGGCACTTTTCTGTGGAAGTGGGAAAAAATAATAAGTATTCAGGCACCAGCTGGTTATCTGCCAGTGTTGTCAAAGACCTTGACATTTTGAATACTGCATAACAAACACGTTATGCTTGCTCTCCACTAAACCCAGTCACATAGAGAGAAACAGAAAAATAAGTATATATAATATTTTAGCAGGTTCTACTTATATACATGCAACTGTTTCTTCTATTTTTGCCATTTTACATCAAAAGACAAAAAATATTTTAGGCAGCCATAAAAAGAATTGATGATTCATTATAACCGAAAAGCTGTAGCTCAAAGCAAATGGGTGTCCATAAAGGAAGCAACTACCAGCAGCCACAGAAAGTCAATGAGATTGAGCAACTTCAAGAAAAGATGGAAAAAATAACCACTGACCATATGAAGTTAAAATATACAGATCGTTTTCATCTTTGAGGTGAGCAACTGCAGCTTGGAATGTCTGATAGCGACCAAACATCACTGTCTGTCAGGGATAATACGTGTAGCATACTTACATCCCCAAAGGAGTATATTATCAACTACTTCAGCTGTCTTCCTGAAGTCCACTGTATTGCAATAACATGCTCCTGCTATAGTGACCATGCAAATAAAATTCTCCTTGTCATGTAAAACCCAAACCATGACCGTGCATGCTCCCTGCTTTGAATAAACGAATAAATAGCTCAAGTCAAACATTTGCTGGGCCATCTACTACACTTCTAAGAGCTGCTGAAGCCAAACAGAGGGGCCGCTTCAATTTCTGCAAGTGGTATTTTTTTTAAATATAGCAGCTGAACCTGCATGTCATTTTTCAGCTCAGTACTCCTATTGTTCGAGAATACAGCAGATTGTATGCATGATCTGAGTATTTTGAACTTGCTTATGATGAGAGCCATTATGAACCAACTACTGACGAAGGCTTCTTTATCAGTCTTAAGAAGTAGTTATGATGTTACTGTACTTTACCTCATGGTACAACATTAAGGCTCTGCTTAAAACTGAATCCAAGCTATCTGTCTGACCTTTGAACAACAGATGCACACTCTGCAGAAACACCAATTCAAAACTGCACTTTCTGAATTGAACTGATCACATTTTGGGTCAGAGCTGGACCCTGGATCATGGAGCAAATGCCTACTTGTATTAGCATCAGTTAACTTATGAATATAATACCAGTGGTTTGTGCATCAGACAGCTGGCTGTACAGTTTGACTGGGGCTGTGATGGCAGCACCTTCTGCAGTCACATAAACCGCTCCTGATGGTCTATGCCAAGGCCAGATCAACCCCATTCATAGCACACATGCGGAAGGCTGGTTTTCAAGGACAGTGACTGACTGGAGTAGGATGTTGATACCTTATCAGCTTTATCAAACTCCAGACTAAAAACGTAATTATACTTTTCATGGTTATTTTCCTGTTGGAGTCTTCATAATTTTATTTGATGGTTTCTATTTTTCTGCATAGTCACCACAAACAGAAGATCAGCTGCTCTGGGAAGAAAAATCCTTTGTTCTACTGAAGTACGCAAGGCCATGTTCTGTGTGTCAACCAAGCAAAGCACACACAGAGCTGAACAAATGGGCTACAAACAGACAAAACTCTCCTTGGTTTATAAACAGGACAGTGAAACTTCATGTAAAGGAGAAACTGTTCCTTTTCTGATTAGTTTTCTCTCAAACGAGCAGTGACCTCCACCTCACACTGGGGCGGTTCCCAGCTGAGCAACAGGAATGAAATTTGGCACATCGCAAGTCTGAGAGAACAGTTCTCATCTGGAAAAGAGTTAAAGGCACATACCAGGGAAGGCAGAGGTTCATCTGCAGTGGTGCAGACACTGTACTGGTGGGTGTGCTTTGAAAATAAGAGCTGAGTGTACAACAGAGCTGTAAATTCATTGGTCGGTCTATGTTCTTACCCTCGCCTATGGCCACAGGCTGTAGGCAGGGACTGAAACAATAGGATAGCAGATGGCTGAAAGCTACAATATACCTGCTGCAACAGTCGGTCGCTTCGCTCAGCATGGCAACTGTGTTTCATAGACATTTGTTTTATACCTGCTGTTACAGGAGGCTGCTGCAGTATTCTCCTGAACTATAGATATGGCCACTTAGACAATACATACACATAAGCGTTGATATAGGAGGAAAAGAAGCCAAAACTGGAAGCCAAGATGTTGTCAAAGGTTTTTTGAAAAGTTTTTTCCACAAATTGTCAAGTTTTCTGCATCTGTGCATCTCTGATCATGTGCTACAATATCATTAAAATGGCAGTAAAAACCAATACAGCTGTGTCTTCAACCCAGCTCTAGCAGCGCACCGTGCCAAGTTACAAAAATCGAGAGGTGCATAAGCAGCCGACCGGCATCAAAATTGATGCGCAACACTACAAACACAAACTATGCATCATGCCACATGAGATTAAGCCTAGCTAGTACACTGAAAGAAGCCTGGTTCAGGAATCTTTTCTAGAATGTCGTCAGGATGCCTCCTTGTTTTGGAGTTTTAGGCATGTCCTACCAGGGAGGTGAAGAAATGAATTGGAGAATGGAAAGTATGGTGGGGAAATGGAGATCTGCACATCACTGCTTGGACTGCTGTTCGTCTGACGCAGACGCAACTACTGCCCATGTCTCCATCCTTTCTGGTAATTCAATAGGTATGCTCGTGCCACAAGCCACACACAAAATAAAGCCCCTTAAGTTCTGTTGAACCCCTGGTCTGATTACAGATTCTACCTTTTGTATTTTCTTAGGGTCTTTGAGGGGGCTTTCCCGAAGTGGGACTTTCCCAAACAGCTTCCACCCAGGATCCTTCTGCTCCACAGGCTGATTTTCCTTCACTCTCCTGGCAAACAGGCTCCTGAGAGAGGAGAATGACACAGAATTAGAATGGACGATAATTAGCTCATTATAACAGCAACAAAAAGGAAGGAAGGCGTTGACAACCTGCCTCCTGACTAAAGCAATCAGTGAGGTGAAACACTAGTGTGTGTGTCTCTACTACTGGAGGGAACAGCTGATGTAAAGCCACATATTGTATATTTGACTTAGAGAACAAGGGGTTATAGGTCACAAGCCATTTAACCTCCTACCTTATATGAGCGATATTCAATTAAAATTTAAGGTCTAGTTAGAGAAAATTTCCTCAAACCAAGGTCCAAAATATCAAAGTTCCAAATGCATTATAATTTAATGCAATATATAATAAAGTAGCCCAATTTTTGAATCAGTAGTAGTTTGAAGTTATATCTACATTTATGGTAATTTCATTTTAATGGAGAAAGACAGAAGTCAACCAAAAATCCAGAAAGAAAATATTACATGAAAGTAATAAATAAATAGATTTTCATGTCTCTGAGTAAAATAAAAATTTGATTCCCCCACAGATTGACTATAATCATGGGACATAGCCAATCAATTACAGATACTACTGATCTTAACTTGTTGTGTATAAAGTACACCTTTTCACAGAATCAATTTGCTTTTATTCCAACCTATCCACGACCACAGGAAAGACCAAAGATCGATTAAAGAACGTGACAAAACTGCAGATCTGCACAACGCTGGGCTACACAAGGATGAGTTACAAGAACATCAGCAGGAAGCTTGGTGAGAATATGACAACTGTCCGTGCAATTATTCAGAAGAAACTGTCATCGTTGAAGGAGTTCTTCCCTCACAGGGTGAGGATGATCACAAAAGTGGATCAGCCTAGAGCTACACTTGTTAATGACGTAAAGGCAAATAGGACCACAGTCACCAAGAACACCACTTTTAACACACTACACATTGAGACCTCGCAGCGTTCCAAGTTCCCCCCTTGTTTATGTGGCCGATCTTACAAACTCAGAAGGAGAACATTTCCCCCACTGTACATCGACTATTGTAGACAAAGGAAAAGGCTGACCATACTAAAATGACAATAAGATAAATGTGAGAAATCTTGCACTAACGTAAAATAGAAATGGTGCATCAAAATCTAGTAATAGGTCTGGGTTCAGATCCAGATTGTAGTCTGCCTATTCACGACTTAGGCACAATATGGAAGAAAGCATTGGGAAATGGTTGAATTTGGGTGTTTTTTGTCCCACTGCCACAGGTGTATAAAACTCAAGCACTTGTAAAAGAATGGGTCATCTAAAGAGCTTACTGAATTTGAGTATGGTAGTAAAAAAGATGCCACTGTTGCAACAAGTCAGATTGTGAAATTTCGTAGCAGCAAGTGGTATTATTGCAAAACTAAAGTGTTTAAAAACCACATCAACATCATGTAAAGTTACAGAGCAGGCTTGCCATGTGCTGAGACACACAGTGCCTAACTGCAGAGTTCCAAATTTCCCCTCATTATTGCCGCTTTGACTGAAGAATACTACCTTCATCCAATGAAGTTTGTGAATTCCCATTTGAAATGAATTGTCCAGTCTCCTCTGCACTGCATTGAAAGTGCAGTGGTTTCAGCCCACCTGGGGTTTAAATACTACCTGCTAAACCGTTGAAAAGCTTTCCTTTGTTCCACAACATTCACTAAGCCGTTTAGCCAGCTATTCGGTTTTATTTTTTATTCATTTATCACTGCGTTGATGTCACTGAGCTGTTAGAGGTGGCTTTAATTAAAAGCCCGAATAGAGGCAAGCTGTGAAAAGACACATTTAAATTGGTCAATTAAAAAGCCTCTTCTGATCAAGCAGGGCAAGAACAGGCACAATAGAAGGCTGTAACATCAAAGAGCCCACACACTGCTGTTTGTTTAAGGCTGAATTTCATCAAGGGGTCTTCTATAATGATTTTCACACGTCAGCTAAATATGACATTTTCAAGCTTTGGCTCTCAGCAAGTTGTACAGACATGTGGAAAGAGCCGGGAAGGGTCAAATAGGTCTAAATGCACAAGTTGTCTCAGTTGAATCAGTGACCCCTGACCTCTTAAGTGCTGCACAGCTTGACCTGTGCCCCGTGGGTTGGTCTCGAGAGTAGTGATGACAGGAAACATGCTGCCAAACACAGGACAGACTCATTCAATGACTGTCACCACATGTGCTACGGGCTTCTGTTTTTGCTTTGGAAATTGCTTCATTCAAGATGTTCTGTGCTCAGTAAAACCTTACAGTTCCTGTCGTCTGGACAACAAAATGACATTGGCTCTTATCTTGCTTAATAACAGTAGTTATAAAGTTATTATAAAGTGCAATTAATACTAATCAAGAAGAAGCTGCATCATATCAAAAACAAGCAATGCTTTGCTGCTAGTAATGTTCAATTACTAAACAAATCTTGCAGCTGCTCTAAAATTAGTTTGTAATTTTCCTTTTTTATGATTTGGTAATATTTCAGTTTTCTAGTTACAGTAAAACAGCCCAAGTTGCAAATATGACCTATATTCCACAAGAAGAAAAAAAAACCTAACATGCACAGAGACCAAACTACTATAATAAAGCTCACCACCTCTGAGCAGCTAACTCAGCTGAACTTCCCTTGTTCTATGCAAGTCGGATCTCTTCAGGAGCTTTTAATTATCTTAAGAAGCCAATTAAAAAGCTCTATTTTAAATTCAGAAACGAAATCCATGAGCTATGAGCCCTAAAATGCTGAGGCCTGAACAACTTATTCAGCAATATTAGCTGAGAATTAATAGGGAAGAAGTATTATTTATGTATAACCTGCAGGTTTTCCAGTATTCAGAAAGCAATGTGTTTTATGAGTTACAGAGCAGTCTGAGGAGCAAATATCAGGAAAAAAAACATTATTTCTTGTAGACCATTAATACTGTTAGGAATCAGAAGGTGACGCAAGACAGAAAGATGACAATACCATCACACTGCAACTCTGGACAACATTTCAAACAGCCAAGCTTTACAGCCAACCAGCTGTAATTGCTTATGAAACGTAACAAAGATTAACAACAATTTTGCTAATGATTTACCATGGTGACATTTCAGTTTCCAGTGACAACCTGAAAACAAAATAACTTGATCTTAACAAGTAAATCCATGTATGTTCACAGTCAGGCATAAGCTGGGCGAGTCGCCATTCTATTTACCCTCTAATGCCAACGCCTCATTCCTGCCTCGTTGTAGCTGCACGTTTCACATCAACCCTGCATATTTTCCGCTCTGCTTGCTGATAACTACAGTACACAAAGATAAAAGTAATGGAATGTTACTCCCAAGGTGAAAAAAAGAAAGCCGTTAAAAGCCAACACCTAATATTTTACAAACTGTAAATGCACAGTGACATTTAAGCTGAACTTCTCTGCTATTTTCACAATTGCACAGACAAACCAGTGAACAAAACAAAAAAAACCCCCACCATTTTCCATACTATCGCTATTTTCTTAATATTTTGACAAAGTGCTTGAACGCATAAGACATCGGTAAATTGTACAGCACCATTTCACACTCAAATATAGAGGAAATGGTCAATTTAAGGTTAATCTAACTCCACCCACAGCAAACAGAGGAAGGAAACGTTAGCCTTCAGATTACAAAGAAACAAAAGATGGAGAGGATAACTGAGGAACGCATGGGGTGACGGAGGAAAGAGTCATTTAGCCACAAAGACCAGGGGAACGACAAGGACTATTTAACAGATTTCTTTTGAAGCTTGGAGAACTCAAAACAATTCAAGGAAAACTGCTTCACAGACTTTGCACAGGCTGTACTGAATGCTACACTTAAGAATCCCATTATTATTATTGCTCACTCCCTGTCATAGATTTACTTTTAGAAAGACGAGTACTGGCAAACATGGCAAAGTCTCATATCGTTAGCTTCATAGCATAAGTGCCTAAGTCATTTTTTTGTGATGACATAGGCAGACGGACAGGATGATGCAGCAGTGGTAGGGGAGTAAAGTTAGGCAAAAATCTCAATTTGACCAAAAAATGACTTAGGCACTTATGCTATGAAGCTAACGATATATTGAATCCAGCTTTACTACTTTTCTCTACTTTTGGTTCTGAATGATGTTAATCTGAACATGTCGTTAGAATCTGATCTCTCTGGTTATGAGAACCTACCTCCTGTTTAATTCTTCTGGCTTAAAATGAATAAGGATTATTTATAAGTGCTAATCATACAAAACTACTAAGAGTTCTGGAATTTAACACTTCTCTTTGGTGAAGAGGACAGACGAGCTGACCCATGCAACAGGGCTCTCCAAACCCAATAAAGGCAATCCATTCCTCCATCGCAATTCCAAAGACTTAGAGAAGTAATACCAAGAAGCAGGGTGTGGAACAATATCTTAAAACACTGCACAGCTGTGAAAAACACAAATTCACAGCTTAAAAAACCCAATTACACCCTGATGGCTTCCAAAGAAATTAACAACAATAACAATCTTGGCAAAATTGGACATTCTAGCAAATTCACCACAAAAATGAGAACGCTTAGAGAACCTGCTAAATGCAACAAACCCCAAGAACTGCATCTCAGACTCAACATTTAACATGCTGACATTTGTAAACGTTCATGAGAGCACATTCAGAAAAAGACTTTTAAAGTAAAAAGGAGAAGCGGAAGCGAATGGACTTTTAAAGTATGGCTTGTTTGGAAGGGTTGTCAGCAGGAAGCCTTTTCTCTGTAGAAAAGAAAATGGCTGCATGACACAGGTTTTTAAAGTTGCATCTGAATAAAAAAAACAACAACAACTTTGGAACGATGTCCTTTGGAAATAAAGACAAATCGAAAGTAGAGATGTTTTACCATAATGCAGGGTTGTAGTTGAAAAACAAACAAACATGAGCACAAGCAGTGGTTTTGTAACAATTTATTCTAGTTAGATGTGAGGCCATCAGTGGATGAGCCCTGCGAAAGCTGATGAAGACCCGGAGGGAACATCACGAGTGTAGATTAGATGATTC